TCTTGAGGAATAGCGGATATAACGTTGTTTAGAAGATTCTCCTTAGTGTAAATCGCTGCTGCACAGCCATTGTGACCATCAAATAACTGCAAACAACAAAATAGGATTCAGTAGGGAAGACTTGATAACAAAGCTTGAGATCGATCAAAAGCTGCACCCAAGTAAAGCTGGATCATGAAAGCAAAAGAAATTTACCCCAAAAACTGAGTAAGTAGTAACGCCATCGCCAAGGATCCTCTGGCATTCAGTTTTGACGAACGTGAAATCTTCCCCTTTCTTGCTCTGGTTGGCCTGTCCATGGACAAGCTCAGGCTTCTCTACCTTCTCGGTAGCCAATTCCCGCTTTAGAAGCACCGAGAGCGGCACCGTGTGATGCTCCCTCGTGGTTGACATTTCAGAAACTCCGAAGAACAAAACAACGACGAAAATCCTCGACGGCCGACAATCTCAATTGTTTCTCTCCACTGCAAACGAAGACACCAAGAAAACTAAAATCAACAAAGGGAAAAACCGATTCCGCATTTCAGCCTCCTAATCGCAAAAAGCCACGTAGAACGATCAAAAAGAGGGAGAGGGAAAGGGGAAAAACATAAAACGTTTGCAACAACGAGATGCCATATCTTGGCCGCGGCCGGCTCATACAACGACAAAAAAAAAAACGCCGGAGATCTTCCGTACAAGCGAATAATTAAAACGGAGATACAATTGGAAACGAGAGACTGTTAAGAAAACAGCGATTCGAAGGAGGAAACGGAGAAGAGAAGAGAAGCGTTGCATTTCAGATCAATGTAGAGCAAATCTCAAGGCACTTACAGAGAACCGATGCCGAATCTGGAGGAGAATGCTCCTCAAACCGGAGCCGGACCTGAGGGTTTTGGAATCCGGCAGACGGCGCAGCGGCGAGAGAAGCGGGAAGGAATCAGGAACGAGCGTATAGCTTCAGCAGCGATTGCTGAAGGGCGGTGGAAAGGAATGGAAGGGGAAGAGAAGTAATGGTGGCTGGCTATGGCGGAAGAGAGGTTGTTAGAGCATATGGAGGAGAATTTGGTGAAGATATTGCTGCTGCTGCGATCGAGAAACGCGGATCCCAGCGTTCTGCAGAAATTCCATTGTTGAAACGAAGAAACGCAATTGACAGAGAGAGAGAGAGGGGAGGGAAGAGAGAGAGATCGTTACATTTAACAACAAAACAATAATATGAGCGCAATTGGAGCTGTTCTTTCTTGCTCTCTTTTTCCTCTCTGTTTCTTCTTCCTTATTTAATTTTTTTCTTAATCTGTTTTTTCGTTTTTTTTTGTTTATATGCGCTGGTGTTGTTGGAGGCTTGGAGCTGACGTGGTGGATTAAACGCGCCGTATTAATCCTCCGTTCGGCGCGCGAGTGAGGCGTTGGGGCGCGCTAAATCACCTCCGTCTGATTAGTGATTTCGTCATTTTGGAAAACGGTTTCGCTTCTCTGTGCTGGCAATTTTGGTGGGACCCACTGAAAATAACAACGATTTCCATTTTTTTTCTTTTTGCTTCCAAATATTTTCGTAAAGTAGATTTTCTTTTTCTTTTTAGAGAAATGGGGCTCTCAAACAGAGCCCAACTTTTATTCAATAACGGAACGAGTTGCTTGAACCTTAATAATGTCATGGTACAATCAATATAAGAGAGCAGTACCAGGTGTTGCAATAATCTGAGGCCCCATCGGGCAAGAGTATTCTAAATTAGCAAGGTAATCAGCAACGACGTTCGCCTCTTTATAGACATGCACAATTTGGACTTGCCAGTCCTGCGGGAGCCATCCTCGTATATCTTGCGGTAGAAATTTTATGTGCGACGTTGAAATGATCTCAAAATTTCTACCCAATTTTAGATACAATTAATTACGATACTTCCAATAATACAATCTGCAAGTGCGCTCGTATAACACGCTTAACTGTTTGATGGAAGTTGTATACCTCATACTTGTTGGATAAACGCATGATATCTTATTTATAAAATTATCATTGTGACTCGCTATGAAACAACACCTAACAATGGCCAAGTGGCCAAAGGTCACATAGCCTGGTGGTAAGGGAGGAGGACTAGTGACCATAAGGTCCCAGGTTCGATCCTCACCGCCACCATGGTGTTCCCGGAGGCATCCCGCTATCACCCGGACCGCCGGCGGAGGTCCCGGGGTTTAGCCCGACTACGGCACCACAAAATGTGGTGACCGTGGAGGGTGTTTCTCGTTATATAAAAAAAACAATGGCCAAGTGTAACCAATGAAGGGGACTGCAGTATAGTGGCTCAAGTAATAAATATCGAATCCACGGGTCTCTAGAGTTACTATTACTCAGCTTCAGTTCATTATCTAGCAAACCATATTAAAATAAAAGAACTAAAACTACTCTAGCAAACTACAGTTAAAGTTAATCTAATTACAGGTTGGAAACTCGCTTAGGTATGATTCCCCCTAGCCACTAGGCAGATTAACGATTGATGATCTCTAACTTGTTTCACTTTCATTCACAATGCCGAGAATCCTTGACTAGACCTTGAGTCTCGACTACAGGAACAAGACCCTCTTGAGTCAATTGCCTAGAGGGACGTATCCTTCTCTAGAACAACCGATCAAGGCGTTCTGAACTAGACTCCCTCTATCGAAAGAGGTTCTCAATCGATACAAAGCAGTGAATCAACCCTCGACTAAAGCAATCGATCCAATGCTATCAATCTATGGTGCTCTATTGACCTAATCAGGTATTCGCTCTCATAGGATCAAAGCAGAATCAATAATCTCGACTAAAGCAGAATTGAATCGTGAAAACATGCATAGATTGAATATGAACTCAAGGTTATGAAGTTAGAGTACTCATACAATCATCCAATCAAACAAACATGGCTATGGTTCCTCAAAATCTAAGTCAAGGGAAGTTACTCCATAGAGAAGAGAGAGACTGTAGTAAGAATCTTCAGATGATCAGCCTTCAAGTCCGGGCTTGTTCCTCGAGCTTCCAAGGCGAATAAATCCTCCAATTTCACTCTTAGAATGCCCTCAAATCGCCCTCTCTCTCTCTTTGGTTCGTCCCTTGGGTGTTTGGGATCCAAAACCCAGCTCTCCCTCTCCTTTGGCTCGAATTTGGGTTAAAACCCAGAATTTCCCGACTCACACGCCCGTGTGACTCTCCCAGGCTGCCCGTGTGAGTGTCAAAACGCGGAGTTTCGATAAGTGGCTTCAGGCTTCCTACACGGTCACGACCCACAAGGCCGTGTGGACTTCCAGGGTGCCCGTGTGAGTTCCCTGGAATTTCCACACGGCCACAAGGAGTCCCCTACACGACCGTGTGGCTTTTAGGCATGCCCGTGTGGCTTCTCAGCTTCTCGCCAAACGTCCAAACTTCGTCCAATCGACCCCGAACTCGTTCCTAAACCTTCATTCACGTACTAGGACCTGAAATATCACAAACAAGAACAACCTAGCGTGAAATCGGCCTAAAATGCGAGAATTGACATCTCAAACGGCTCAATGATAGGGGTAAAAACATGTGTAATCAATGGTCTATCACATTGCGTCCTTATGAAGTAGTTAGAACACAATCGCACAGTTATAAGCACTATAGAAATATTACTTACATTGCACCAAACAAAATTTGAACGGATAACCTATTTAAAAGATAAAAATATCATTCGAGTTTGAACACAATAATTTTCACATTGAAAAACTACACATAAATACTGTAGCTATTCATCTACGGAAAACATTGTTGACAGAAATGATATTGGCTATATTTAGGCTCATTATAATTTCAAACATCAGATTTCTCAATTAGTTCTTAAAAAATTAGTGTTGAATGGTAGTTTACTAATTTTTACATTCAGCATTTGTTTTGATATTTCCAGCTGCGGTATAGTGAAGGGATATTATGTCAGAATATTTGTGAAGGATATTTAGTTTTCGACAACCTGTACGTTTCTAAGTTAACAAGCAATAAGGAATTAATTTCAATACAAAATTATTAACTATTAATTTGATATTGCAATCATATTACATAATAGTTCATTTCCAAAATATATAAGGGTAAGGAGATTTTTGTGAATTCCAATCCAGTCCTTTCTAGAGTTAGCATCTATGTTATTCTTCGATTTCAATTTATTAATTAGAAACTCGTCAAAATGATATGTTACGAATTGCCTAGCCCATTTCAAGATCCTTACAGACCTTACCACATTCTTACCGTACTCAAATCACTTGAAGCCCATACCGTACTTATATTTATACCGTATTTTACTAATTGTTTTGATAAACAACGACTAGCCGACTACATATTTGATTGTACAAAAATGCGTGCTCAGATTTTTTTATTGGTTCAGCAACTCTTTGATGATCATGATGACTGATGAGGTAATCAAAACCATTCTTTTCTTCCAACATGCATGGCCATGGGGACAAGACAATTAGCTGTTAATTCGGTCGGGTCAATACAATGTCACAGTAGAGTTGATAAATCCTCTCTTCCTTTCCTTCATCGCTCAGGGCAGGGCGGATTGATTGTGGTTTGCGGGCCAAGCCCGGCCCACTACCTAACCATTTGACTTCCGCCGGGGAAACAAAGACCGCCCGAAAATCCCGGCGCCAGTTATCCCACCTGTTGGCTGTTGCTTAGCTGGCCAAGGTATAACAAGAAGCAAAGACGCGAAAAAATGGTGCGTTGCAGTGAAATCAGCGTTGTTTAATTCATGAACCGGGGACCGTTTTATTTTTTTATTACTAATTAAAAATTATTAAGTTACAAGAAAGTAACAACGTTAAGATTGTGTCAAAACTCTGTGCCTTCGTCCAGTTCAGCTCCGCTTGGCGCCAATGACGGCATAGAATAGGAAAAACGCGCTCTTTCCTCTTACCGCTTTGGGTTAACAGGTTAATGAGAGGAGAGGGAGGTTGAAAGTATGTGTGCTTCGATCTTGCTCGGTCAATTGTTAAATTGTACATGGAACACAATGCAAATACGTCGTTCTTATTCATCTTTTGCGTCTTACGATCGTTCAATTGACAGTTTAATAACTAATTAACTAGAAAAGTATAAACTTGTACCCTATTGCTATTCATTAACCTATCACTTAGCATAATCCGCACATTGAAGAGAAAAAGAGAGGCAAAGGGCGAAAGAGAAGGGGATATTACATGTTTTCTGGAAATCATAATTAGAGAATCGAGTTAATCTAACAACGCAATAATAGAGATCAGGTCATAATCAAGGGTAAATTGCAAAATCATCCCCCCAAAAATATGATGGTGGGAGCATGATTACTTACAATCCCCACCACCACCATCCCTCACCTTCACCATTACCGTTATCTATACACCAAAAAGTCTTCGACTTCTACAACCTGATGTGCTGCCTCCATAAAGCTTTGTTTAATAACAAGAAGCTCCTGAATATCACAAGTGGAATAGTTGTGATCAGTGTTATGCACTAAGGGACCAAATAAACAAAGCCAAAACTAAAGTCACCTTGATATATGATTGCTATGGAAACTCATCAAAGAGGAATCAAGCAAATCTTCTTACCATCTTTAAATTTAAGCTAACACGATTCAAGGAGATGTAAAACCGACGAATCGAGGACTACATGAATCCGACTTTTTACAAACTTGTATTTGTCTAATTCAGTTTTGTAAGATGAGTTTATAAGGACGCATTGAAATTAGGGTAACATGGTATGAGGATCTATTGATCCTTCCCAATCTGATATACATGTATGATTGCCATCAAAATCAGTGGGACTCCCCCAATTGTTAAGTTTTGTGATTCCAAGCAAACTGAAAATGGGAAATGAAAACAAAAAGGAACCCCAGGGAGGGAGGGATTAAGCAATGTGAGATCAAAAGGGTGTTTTAATAAACTCTTATAATGGATGCAGTCCATGTGCCAAGTTAAGCTAAGCTAAGGCAACAACGTGAGTGGAGGAAGTGCAACACAAGTTGGATGGATGTCTCTCTTCAAAAGTCATACAGCAAAAGGAGAAAAGATTTATATATTCAGGGCATTTGATGCTCTTAAAGTAGGTCTGACAGTTGGCCTCAAAGGATTTCATAGAGAAAACAATACAGATTCAGCCGACTATGTAAAGCAAACGTGTGGGAAAAAGAAAGAAAAAAAACACAAAAAGACTTCATTTTTCCCAACCTTTTCTCACTGCACATTTCATCAGAATAGAATAGCAGCTAGCTAGTCCAGACCACAGACACATTGCTGCAGATTAAATTCGAATTGGAGGGGATTCAAGTATGATTTATCCCGGTTTCGATTCTCAAATTTACAACTTGGTTTTGATTTCATTTCGAAGGGAATAGAACATGGATTGAAAATTAGATTGAATCTATATATTTTTATATGCTTATGATCAACTGTTTTCTTTTGTATTTGATCCGATCCTTATACCAATCAATCTGATATTGGAATGAACAGCACTTGACCATGTTCACCACTCTTCACGCAACATGTACTAGTTTAAGAATAAAATGGGAGGATGGATTGGATTTTACCTAACTGATGATCTAGCTGTCCTGGTAAAATGAAAACCCACCAAGATTCAGATATTAACTTTAGCCCTTGTGATGTAGACCTGCAGCAATGAGAAAAGAGGGGCCAAATTTGCGTAAGGAAATGGATTGTGATCTTAAATAAGCAGAGTTGGCCACTTTGCTGGCCTTCTTTGTTTTAATGCAGATTAGTGGGGGGTGGACAGGAAGATGGATACAACCTTGAATGCTGTAGGCCTGATCAATTGGAAAATTAAAGCATCCCCATCTGCCAAGTTGTGATTAACTGCAAACCCTTTCCATCCACCACTCAGTCCCGTCTTCCTTGGAAGATAGATTGTTGGGTGCTCATTTCCTTCCTCGTCTATTAGGGTCATCACTTCGTCACGTTTTGGAAGGTTCATCTTGCAGAAACTTTTCGGAAGTCCCTGTGATGTTCATCAGTTGAACTTGAATTATCAAGTATAGTTATACAGTTCTAGTCCATTCTAACTAAAGAGTAACCATAAATCGTCAATAACCAATTCATCCCCATAAGGCATACGGTTGGAAGAGATCTTGGCTGAAAACTCAAGGGAGACAAAAAAAAGTCACAGCTTCTATGATCATATCATATGCTTGGGATATATCACATGGGTTCGGAAGAAAATCTCGACTGGAAGCAGTTGAAAGATGAAAAACGTATTGAAGAGCAGTTGGGAAGGAGGGGAAAGTCAAAAGATTTATAGGTAGGGAGACAAAACTCACCAGCCAGAATCCACCAGTAACATGGGATATAAGCATGGACTTGACAAAAGAAGGGTAATGGGTTTCTAAATTAGCATGCAAATTCTCTGCTTTCTCCAAAGCTTCTGCCCTTGCTTCATCACTTGCATAAACCCTATTCGACAAATCCCTTGACCTTCCACTTGACACCCTGCAAACAAAAGATCCATACATTCCTCTTAACCACTTTAGCCCCAGATGAACATTCATTTCATATAGCTAGGCTCCAAGAAATTTGGATGGGGATCATATCCTCATATCTGTACCTTCTTGGTATCATCACTCGATCCACAACAACCTGCCCAAAGAAACGAAACACCTCAATCAATCAATCACAAAAGCCACGATTCTGCGACATAAAAGCACAACTAAAACTCTCTTAAATGCCCTGATTCAAATGGCTTAAACCCAGCTGTAGAAGCAGACCTAGGGTTAGAAAGTTAGATAGTATTCAATAACTCGAAAAGGGACAAGGGATTCACCCACTTCAGCATATACAGGAGAAGGTTTGTTGGCGACGCGGCTGGACCTCCTAACGACCACCACTTCCTTCTTCACCACACGAGGCCGAGGCGCTGACTGCTTCATCTGCAGCATTAGGGTTCAGATGAAAATCACCGTCATAATTAAAAGCCATTGAATGTAGGAGAATGTTGGGAAATAGTACCGGAGAAGGGTTGGGAGAGGTGGTGCGGAGGGATTGAGAGAGCAGAGGGAGATTGAGGGCTTCCATTCTTTTCTTGTTCTCTTCCATTCTGCTGAGCCGGATTTGCTCGTATTTCGATTGCTTCGCCACCATTTTTCTGATTCTCTTCTGTCTCTGCGAACGATCGGAGGAGGAACGAGAAGGGGGCGTTTGAGTGAGTGTGTGATTGAAGAGTGGAGAGCATGGAGACGGGGCTGATTGCTGAATAGGAAACTGTGCCGACGACCGTTGATTTCCCACTTCTGCGACAAACTCCAAATTTTGAAATTTCACCAGATTTTTTATTCAATTATTCTTGTTGGTAAAATACAGTTTTTTTTTTCCAAGAAATGTCAAGAGAGAACCTATACAACCTACCAAGACCCGCCCAATCCAATACATCAGTGAAGCCAACCAACAAAGTCAAAGGCGCACAACTCTAGAGGGGAGAGTAACAGGGCTTTCTGCGCCACTCTATGGGCAGCCCTGTTAGCAGTCCGGGGAACTGCCCTAAACTCTAAGGATACAGAAACAGAGGACATGAGAAGGAAGCAATCCCGAAGCACCGGACCTCCAAGGGAGTCTGAGGAAACACCTTGACGAAGCTGACGAATCACCACCTCTGAATCTCCTTCTATGATGACCCGAGGTAGAGATTTGGATACCAAAAGGAAGATGGCGTCTCTAGCAGCAAGGAGTTCTGCGAGGTAAGGATCAGCAATACCGGGGTGAAGAAACCCTACTGCCAGAACCACATGCCTGTCTGAACTCCGCACCACTAGACCAGACGAGCACCCGGAAGGTCGAACAGCAGCATCAAAGTTGATCTTCAGAAATCCATCAGGAGGAGGGGATCAGGGAGAGCGGCGAGAGCAGGAGGGCTGGGGTGGGGGAGCAAGGACCAAAGGTAGGGAGGATGACAGTTCACGAACTTGGAAAAAACATTGACGAGCGAGAGACTGGGCATGAGGTTGGACATGCTCAAAGACCACCTTATTTCTAGACTTCCAGATCCTCCACAATACACAAACGTATAGGAGGATATGGGTTTGGGGGTGCTCAGAGTGCATAACATGTCGCCACCAGAGACTGAAGTTCACAGTCGGGGCCGAGGAAATGAAGTCATTTAGGCCCATAAGCGACCACATTCTTGTGGCCAAGGGGCATTTGAAGAACAGATGTTCAATACTTTCCGGACTTCTCCAACAAACAGGGCAACGGACATGACAATTTACTCCTCTAGACTTGAGTGCTACTACTGTTGGTAATATCACTCTAAGGCACTGCCAGATAAAGAATTTCAGCTTCAGAGGGGTTAGAATATCCCATATTTTCTTCCAGATAGGCGGATCAATGATTTGGACCAGAGGTTTTCGGCTAGCGGCTTCTTCCATATTGACCTAACTTCAGCTTAAAAGAAAAATTTTACCAACATCAACTTGCTCAAAATTATTTGCAATCAAAATAAAGGAAAGCAACGTTAAAATGGTCACCAAATGGTAATTAAATTGGGGGAACTTGAAGTTGCAACCAAATTGATGAAATCTTGGTATTAACGTAAGGCAATAAATTTAGCAGCCTAGAGCTACGATTAGGGAATAACTAAGTTCTACCAAAAAAAGGAATAACTAAGTTAATGAAAGGGGATTGGATTACCAATTTCCATATGATGGGTAACGGACAATAATGCTCATTTTATTTTGTCAACGTGATTCTAATGGTAATTAATAAAAAATAATAGCTCACTAACTATCTCTTTAATAATCCTCGTATCCCAAAACAGAGTTTTGAAACGGAACATTGAAGTTCCTATAGCGCCATAAATAGGCCACTTTAATGACAAACTTGTCATTATGTAACGTCTCATCGGAGACTTTCTTGGGTCGAGCCCATGAAACCGCCGGCAAGGAAAAACCATCGTTTCTACGAGGATCAACCACTGGCAGCGAGTGTATGGTTAATTAGTCCTTCATTCGTCGGAGTTCGGACCTTCTAACAGAATAGAAGATGAGAGAAGTTGAACAGTTGTTGTCGCTTCCTGGTGCACCGCTTGGGCATGCGGTGTCTCTGCTTTTCCGCCAGCTGACTCTTTTCAGTTTTCACTGCTCTCCCAAAAGTCTGAAATCGGGACCCCTCCTCGCTGGTGGAAGCGTCTTTCTTTTTGGCCATCGTCGGATCGAGCCATCGCATCTTCATTGTTGCCGCTTCGATGGCGCGGCAGAGGCTGCTCTCTTCTCCCCTCTCTCCCTCTTCACGCAATGCAAACCATTGCTGCTCTGCCGCCGTCGTCCCCAAGAACCTTCCCCCGGTCCGGCGGCGAGGGAATTTAGTAAAGTGGCATGTATTTGGTGGCACCAACCCCGATCCTATCTGATGTATGTATTCTGAAACAATATGCAGGGAGGAGAAGAGACAAGCATCGAGGGGAACAAAAAGAAAAGCACAAAAATATTGAAAATTGAAATAAAAAAAATTAACAAATAGAAAGAATCCCTCTTATATTACATAACAGTAACTATAAAAATATTGAAAATTTACAACCTAAAACTTAGTATAGTCTAAATAAGGCTTAATACCCTAGTTTGGCCCTAAATTTGACCACAGTGACAATTTTGGCCCGAATTTTTCAATAACACAATTATGACCAACCTTTCAAATTAATGGACAGATTTAGCCCGAAATTTTCTTTGACCGTTAATATTGACGGTCAAACACTTCTTCTGTTAGTGACTAGCAAAAAATGATGATGTGTGTCATGTCATTATATAATAAAATTTTAATTTTTGTAATTCAATTGAAGTAAAAAAAAATTAACAAATAGAAAGAATCCCTCTTATCCCAAAATCCCCAAATTCAAACCCTAATCTAAATCAACATCATCGTCAAATGGCGTCTCCCACCCGATCTCTTCCCTGCAAAATTGTTATCGTCAAATGGTTGGTCAGGGAGGAGGAGATCAGAGGAGACCCGGGCGTTGATCTCTGGGTCCACCACGGCGGCACGGTGGAATGGAGGTTGTTTCTTCCTCCAACAGGGGCCGCCGTCGGGAGAGAAAAAGAAGCAGAATAGGTCATCCGACGCCGCAGACGGTGGGACCAAAACGTAGGCAAGGTCGGGGCCCGAGGGAGAGAGGAAGTCGTCTCTGGAAGCAATCACTTAACCGACGGCGTGGCTCGGAGATTGTGGTGGTGGTGATGGCGGAGGTGGAAGTGGTGGACTAGGAGTCATTGGGGTTGGGGTTGCCGGAGAATGGTTTGGAGCGGTGGAGCTAGAGGGCGAGGCGCTCGCAGAGGTAGGCGGCGCAGAACCCGGTGACGGCATTTGTGCGGTGGTAGGTAAAGTGATGGCGGCGCTGTGGCGGAGCAGGACTCATGATTGCAGGGCTTGGATTTGGGGAAGATGATAGCGCGGTGCGACAATGAAGGGTTTGGGATAATAATAGGGATTCTTTTAATTTGTTCATTTTTTTAATTCCAATTGAATTACAAAATTTAAAATAATATTATATAATGACGTGGCACCCATGCATAAGCCACATCAGCATTTTTTGCTGAGTCACTAACGGAAGAAGTGTTTGACCGTCAGTATTAACGGTCAAAGAAAATTTTGGACCAAATTTGTCCATTACTTTAATAAGTTGGCCATAACTGTCTTATTGAAAAGTTCATGCCAAAATTATCACTGTGGCCAAACTTCGGGCCAAACTAGGGTATTAAGCCTATAAATAATTAGCAAATTATCAATTTATTAGGATCAAGTAGTAAACTTGCTATACATGGTTAGCACGTGAAGAATCAAGCAAATGAGAGAAATGAGAGAGTTCTACAATGTTATGCAAATGAGAGTTTACGCGTATTGACCACATATATGAATGCTATATCGGTATAGACAAATTTTTACCAACTATTAATTCACCTTGTCATTCAACATATATCCTCAGCTCAAACCAGTATTGTGACCGCCATTAAAAGGGTTTTTGCATATATATATATATATATATATATGGAAACGACTCGTATGCGTCAGACACATACTATGCGACAAGATTCTCTACCGTAGATCTAATCTAACGGTCATTATAAATTAGATTAAAATTAGTAATAATGATTACTACATGCACCCCTTAAATAATTATATGTGCTATGAAGCCCCCCAATAATAATTATCGTTCTATTTTCTCACATGATACCTATTCGTTTTTTTGAGAACTCAGATGATACCTTATTTCTTCAAGATCTTTTAATGAACACCCAAAAATTATACAATTGATGAAATAAAGTTCCATTAAAATGTTGCCCCAATTCGACAATCCTAAACCACCATCATCGTCATTACTATTTTTCTAGATACCCCAATTGCAAAACCCTAATTTTACCATCATCATCATCGTCCCTGCTTCCGACCTACATTGACTTTGGCTCATCATCTGTTTTTAATGTCACAGATGTCAGCTACCCTTTCGCGACGAATCCGAAGCAATTGACGGTGAACGACTATGACATTTACGTCGTGTAAACAATGAGTAAGGCTGAAATGCAGAGAGGGTATTGGGTCTCGTCAAGGGAATTCTCTTGGTCGGAGTCCAGAATCGCAACGGAGTGAGAAAGTTTGGACGATGAAGAGAGACGGCCGTCGGATTACGGTGGTGAGTGGTGACGGCGGCGACTGGATAATTGGGAATTTGTGGGGGGGGGGGGGGGGGCAGGGAAGACAACGGTACATGAAAAAACGCCATCGTTTTGTGCTCGTCTATGAATCGAAAGTGGCTTGGAACGGGGTCGTTCTATAGGTGTAGCTGAAAACAAAAAAAAATTGAGATGGTGTGAGGTTCGAACCAGCGTCACGGTCATTACCATGGGCATTTTTCACCATTGCTCCTGAACAAGCATTTTGATTCCATATACTTCCACTGTTATATTTATAATTGTAAAATCAGTTCTAGTAAAATTAAAACATAAAACTAAACTAAGCAGGCCTTTTGTACCAGGCCCATTAGGGTTAGTCGAGCCGATCGGCGGCAATCCTCCTTTTGTCTCTTTAACAATAATGAATTGTAAAAAAAAAACAGAGAACAATAATGGCAAAGTTGAAAATTGGAAGACTACTTACCTACCAAATCTAGCAAACGATTCATCTTCTGCTTTTTCTCCCCTCCCCATGCGCTGCCTTCTCTGTTTTCCTTCAGACACATACTCAACCGCCATCCTTCTCCCTCCGCCTTCGTTGCATGTCTTCGCCTCTGTTGCTTGCACGTCTCCGCCTCCGTCGATCAATCAACCGCTGGTCGCTCAGTAGCGG